TTTGCAGTTTGTGTGCTATTTAGGAAAAATGTCTCAAAAGCACAAATATTCAGTGGCTGGAGATGTCTAAATGCATGTGATTTGGTTGTGTTCTGCAAGTTTTTTTTCTAAACAGGCTGTTTTAAGCTCAGAACAATTTTTTTCATAGAATTAGCTTAAAAAGTCAAGTACCAAGCCAGCCTATAAAAACCAAGGGGTACCTAAACCTGTATTTCCCATTGTGTTGCATAAAACCCTCATACCACAAGATGTTGAATGAAAATGATTCCATGAGCAAATTAGCTTTACTCATGCTCTATACTTTATTCCTCTACCCCTGGGAGACATTTACACATTATGGTATTAAAAGGTCTGACAAGTCCTGCTTATAGGAATCTATTTATAATGAAACTTACTTTAACATTTTTTGAGCGTGTTTCGCCATAACCACTCCACCATGTCCATCAAGTAACATCCCAAGTAGAGCATTAGGCTAGGGTTTCTAATATATGAAAGTTGTACTTCCTCCTAAAAGAGGAGAAGAATGGTTTATCAGTGATAGAGGGAAGACATGGTAGCAATAACTGTACAGTATTTATGGATTGTATATAATTTGCCAAACATAAGACCTTAATTTTTGGAAACTTATGCAAGAAACTAAAATACATGTCTAGGACAGATGAGGAGGTAGTTGATGTGGTTGGTTATAAGCTGTCGTGGTTTAATACTGGTAGGACAATTGCTCCAAGACTGGCCACTCAAAGCAGTTTTCCCAAACATCTTATGCCGGCCATCAACTCTTGCATAGATAGTTGAGAGCAAATTTGCTACTCGTTAAGAAAATAGAAGAGCAGATAACAAGTGTCTCTGGTAGGTGGTTCATACCCCTAAGGCTTGGTTAGTTGCCCCAGCAATGTGGTTTGGGGTTTTTGGCTCCTATACTTTAAATTTGGGTTTGACTCATCTAGTTTTTTATTTGAGGAATTATTTGGGGGAGGTAATGCTGAGAGTAGGTAAGTGAGGGTGGAGTTGGCAAGTGCTTAGTCATGATTTTATCTCAACTGCCCAACCTGAAATTTTTTTCAGTAGGTCTGCCAAGTGTTCTGCATTTCAGTTCTATTACCAATGGGAATTATTGGAATTGGAAGAGAACTCCTATGAGTTGTTGTTCCTCTCTGTTGAATTTTTTTTTTTTTTATTGATGCCAGTGTTGACTAGAAATAGAAGAGGATTGTGCAGGCTGATCTTTGGTATCGTAATATCATTTGACCTCACTACTAGCAAAGGAGCTTATAAGCAGCTTTGCAGTATGCCTTGTTCTAACAAAACGATTCAATCTGAAAAGGTATTGCCAATAATAGAGCTAATGAACATAGGAAGAAGTCTCATTTAGTTAAGCTCCGTGGTCTCTGAAGTATCCCTTATGTAAGCAATTCAAGACAGAATACTGTATTTTCTTTCCATGTCCCTATGTGAAAGAGACTCCCAATTGAAAAACACTCTCTATTGTAGGGCACATGCCAAGTTAAATTAGGAAATATGGACATAAGATTCTTTCCCCACCTTTAAAGATTGCCAAGTTTAGATGTGCATACAGAGCACAGAAAGAGCATTGCTTTGAGGAAACAAGGAAAGGAGTAAGCTTAGCTCATCCTCTTCAGCCATTCCGAGGAGGCCCTTCTGGTAGATGAGACTGAGAAGGATGTGCTAATTATAATTAGCAAGACATTGCTACTTGGCAGAGTTTTATGTAAATTCCCTTGAAACCAAATTAAGATATCTAATCAATCACCTGCCACAAAATTGTTACTAAGCAAGATAGAAAGTTCCCACAAAAATCAGAAATGTCAAATGATTTTCTTAACACCAAAGCGTACTATAAATGTTGAATTTCAGAAGTTGAAGCAGATTTGTACATTGTTGCCAATTAAGCTTCTGCTGCTGTTTTAATAATCCCTAAGTCAGTTTATTAGGGGACAAGGGGTTGTGGAAGGAAGGGCTAAGTCAGAACCACATTATGGGAGTCCCACTGTAGCTCGATACTATCTCAGGAAATGTGCTGTGGTTCAGTGCTAACTCTGAAAAGCAAACTGATCTTCACTTCCCCAAGTAGGAGTGTCTGAGTTTTTCATGGTAAATCACAAAGTATATAATCCAATCTCTACAAGTCTTATTAAAAGCAGCCCTAGATTTGGGGGCAGGGGACAACTGATCAGATTACAAAGTAAATTGAACCCAAAATAGTATTCTCTGTTATTCAAAGCTTCAAGCATTGTTCTGTAGACTTAGACTAGGTCATCTGGAATTTTGTGAATTGGATGAGGAGACACTGATAAGTGTAAAGTTGAAGGGGAAGGATGTTTATTTTTGAGAACATTATTGAACATTTATTAAGCAACAACTATGTGCCCAGGAATTTTGCTGGGCAGTGTATATAAAAAGGTAAATAAAAGATGGTTTAGAACAATACTGTGACCAAAAGCAAAATGTAAGACATATGACACGTAGAACAGAGGCATCAGGATGTCTGTTGCTTACGTAAGACGTCTTACACATGTCACAAACACCGCGTCTGAAACTGAGCTCTTTATTTTTCCTCCAAACTATTCTTAATTGCAGTATCCCCCATCACGTACATTCTCCCAAAATCAGTAACTTGGCTCCACATCCTATCTCAACCTTTATTCAAATTCTTTCTTTGAAATAATCAAATCCAGTCCAGTAGTAAACCTTATTGACTTCACCTCCATCATGTATCTAAATCTCTCCCCTTCTCCAGTCTCTACCGTGGGTGTCTTAGTGAAGCGACGATACTTGCGTGTATCCCTGTGACAACCGTCTCAGTGATTTCTCCGTTTCATTCTATCCCTCTTCCGTCCATTTTCTACACAGCAGAAAGTGTTGCTGTTCTGCTTAAAGCCTTTCAATGATCTCTCCACCACCCTTCAGAATGAGCCCAATTTCTTAGAATGGCTTAGAAGACTCCGTGTACAGGCCCCCACTTAACCTGTTCAAATCTTTTTGCGCCACATTCCTGCTTATTAATTATAGTCATAATAATTTTTGGTTGGGGTTTTATTTTCTTCAGTTTGTCCAACTTACTAAGTTTTTCTCCTCTTTTAGGGCCTAGACACTAGCAAATCCCTCTGCCTGAAATACTCTACTAATTTTTCACATGACTTTTCTCATTCTTTAGGTTCAAAGGTAACTTTGTGCCATTCCCTGCCCACTCTATATAAAAAAGAAGTCTTTTCTATTATTCTCAGACCCTTTCTTACCTAGTTGGTTTGCTTGGTAGTTGCCTGGCTTCCTCACTAAATAGAAATCTCCACGAAGGCAGGGGTTCTTTCACTTACCTC